GATTTTTTAAACCTCCTCATTCCAATGGTGTTGGGGGTGGAAAGATTAGGGTGAGAGAGACATAATCTGTCATCAAAAGAGAAGGGTTTTTCAGGTGTTGGGTATTTGGAAGGTCATTGTGTATATGAGGAAGAGCGGGGGACAAGGGACACTTCCCTGGGGAACTCCATAAAAGTGGCCGTGTTTTGATGCTTTTCTTTAAGGGGACGTACGATACCTTTTAGAATGTAAATTTGAAAAACAAGCGCAGGGCCCTCAAAACCGTAGGGGTAAAGTTTGTGGAGTAGGATTTGGTTTTTTACTGGTCAAAAGCTTTTCTTAGGTCAATAAAATTCCCTATGATTTTCCCTTTTTTCCAATGCTGTGTAAAGCAGATCTAGCATTTTTATGATTGCATCATTAGTGCTTTTATTTTTCCTGAATCCAAACGGGCGGGGGTTGAGTATTTTTTTGAGCCGTTATAAATGAATACAGTCTCTTGTACACGAGTTTCTCAAAGATTTTGGATAGCAATGGTAAGTTAGAATTGGCCTATAGTTGTTTAAGTCTGTAGGGTCACCCCCTTTTATGTATTGGTGTAACCCTTGCCATCTTGAGTAGTTTCGGAAGGTGTTTAGTCTCTATTGACTTGTTAAAAGTAATGAAATAGCATGGCGAAAGGACATGGCCGCTCGCTTGTACAGTAATGGTGGGACATGAGACAGATTCCCCGATTTTATTTTTAAGTGACTTTAACCCAATGACTTCCGTGGGCTCAGTTGGTGCAAGATAGAAGGAATTAGGGAAATTTACCATCTAGGTAGTCCCCGGCATGGGCAATTGTATGTGGGATTTTACTGGCGAGATTAGATCCTATGTTTAGAAGAAGTCGTTTTCTTGTTAGCTGTGTCGTGGGATGTAGTGGTGTTTCATTAGGTTTAGTTAGACAATATTTTTGGGTTTTTTCTAAAGTTTGTGGTCCCTAGAATCTGAGAGAGTGTTTTCCAGGTCTTTTTTATATCTCCCTAGTGTCTGTGAATCTACTGGAGTAGTATAGTTGTTTGGCTTTTTTTATTACTTTGGTGAGAGCTGATGAATAGTGTTTAAGAGTATCTTTGTGAATTAAGCCCTGTAGGTTTGCTACATCAAAAGCGGATTTAAAGGTCAAGGAACGAGTGTATGACTGTCGTTGAGTGAGAAAGGTGGTAATGCAATGATGCACACCCTTCCATGCATGAGCCATACAAACCGGGGTGACAAGAATTCCTTTAATCTGTGCAATAAACGATTAAGAATCAACCTTTCGAATGTTTACACAAGCAGCTAGTAAGGGATATTGGCAAATGAGTTTTGTTGATGGCTCGAATGGGAATAATGAGGGTATTGGTCCATGATTAGGGACTCCCCAGTGACAAACTCATGTTAATAATTCAAGTAAAGGATACCTGGCACTCACACAGCAATCTGAGTATGTTGTAAGTAAAACCATCCCATCAGGCGACGTGGAGTTGCCCTTAGTTAGTGCTGCATCAAGTTCATAATAGTGAAAGGAATGTTGCAGTCATCTCCCTTGCTGAGCATAAAGCAAAAAAGTCTCTCCCTTGTATCAAATTTGTCCATTAATTTCCCCTTTGTGTGGTACGGGGAAAGACGTCATAGCTAGATGTAGCAGCCCAAGCACTGCCAACCATTCGCCCTATGCAAGGGATGAGGGTGCGCGATCTGCCCAGTTCTGTTACCCTTAATTCTATTTATGTCCCTCCATGCCCGGCTAAGTGGGGTGGAGCATTGAGACCATTGACAAATTGTTCCCAGTCTGTTTGCCGCAGCTCGTAAATACGCTCTCTGGCAGCAGCAGGCAGTTTGGAAGAGGCTCAGCATTTCAGGGGTACGAGGGTTTCTATAGGCTAGGCCTAATCTGCGAGCAGTACGTTTCAATGTTCGAAGTTTAGAATCATTGTAATAGTATAAATTTTATAAAAACTTATGATTATTATGGAAGTCATTTGGATTTAGAGTAGTAGGAGGTTTCAGAGCGGCTCTAAGAAGTTCTGAAACTGCTCACAAGGTCATTGTTAAAAGTCTCGACAGAGTACACTCATAGGGAAATTTTACCAGTCAGTCACATGTGCAACAAAGTCATCATGTTGATCAGGGGAAACATTAAGACGTTTCCCTTTGAATATCCCACCAGGGAGAAAGTATTACCAATATCTAGAGAGGTTAGCCTTAGGAAATGATCAGCGCTATATCTGTTACAATGGAAGACTCACAGTGGGGGGAGATCAAGGAAAAAACCCCATAGATATGTGTGGGTTTAAGTCACCACAATTTGCACATTACGACTGTTTAAGATGACAAAATTTATTGCCATTACGATTACCAAACGAGAGTTTTTCCCAAGCTTTTGTGTCTTGCATTATAATCACCAATAAAGATAGGTTTCAGACTGAGCCAAAGGGAGCTCCAAGTAATTTCTTACACAGGGGCTACAAGTTAAATAAGTTGAAAGCAAGTTCCCAATTTAAAATCCTAACACCGTGATCTGTAGCCCCCTTTTTTCTTATGTGCAAGAAGTTTATGGGGAAGTGAATTTTTTAAAATATAAACACAAGAATTAAGATTTGAGGTTATATCAACAAACATGGCAATTTAGGGGGGTTGGGTTTTTTAGGGCTCTGCACTCTTTTAGACACACAATATCATGGGTTTTTGGTACTTTTTTGATGCGGCAAAAATCTTTTTCTAATGAAGCAATTTCAAAATTAAAAAGGATAGTTTATACGATTTTTGTTCCTTTATAAAATCCAGGGATAGTATTCGTTTCTCAGCAAAATAAAAAAAACTTACTAAAAAACAAAAAACCATAATCAATATCAATACATAAAATACCTTATCAAAACGAGAACAACGCCAGTATTGGCCCCATTTTAAACAAGATGGTCCTACACAGTTTCAGAAGGAAATTTTTGGCTATCAAGTCCCAATTTGACTCATTTTTTGAAACCCTAACCAGACTGAGAGTCGAAATAAAAAAGAATTTTTTATAAGAGCCAAAAAAAATTTTTGTTTAAACACAAGCCTATCCGAGTTATCCTACCCCAAATATTTCGAACAGGCGAAAAAGCATGCCCATGCACCTGCCCCAGGGCCATACCAGGAACTCTGTGTTCATCAAAACGCAAGAAGCCCCTATCACGAGCCTTTTCCATCCATGGGGGGGAGCAGGGAACGGGGTCGTCCCTCGTTACTAAAAACAACAGACTACCCCACTCCACAAAGGGGCCAGTAAAGCAACAGCAAAAAAACTACAGCCAATAGCACTAAAATCCCATATCATAAAAAACTTTGAAAGGGGCCCAAAAGCAAGACACCACCCCTCTAGAAAACCCCTCATTACACAACCCAGGGGAACATGGGTTTAAAAAAGGTCGCTCCTGTTGCCCCCAAAATTGGGCCTACACAAGGTCCTAAATGCACTAGAAACAAAAAAATCAGATGTAATATTTCAGACTTTTTCAAAAGCCTTCGACAATTGGACCAGGCTAATAGCGCACAAAATGCGTGCTAAAGGAAAACAGAAAATCCGGTCGATGGGTCTATAATTTTTTTAAAAAAACACAGAGAGAGTCGCAACAGAGAAAGCCCAGGGAGCTACGGGGAAAAGCCCGTTTCCCCCCAAGGCCAGTACACCCCAACTTGTTCCTCCCTCATATCCACATAGACAAGATTCAGCCACACACCCTTCTTCCTTTGCAGAGACACCCAATCTGCATGACAGTGTCTTCCATTGCAGACACTGCAAGGGTCCAGGGGACATCAACCAAATCTTCCAGTGGGCTGCAAAAACAATATGAATTCAACGATGAGAAAATTTTAATTATTCAGATATGGTAAACTGAGGAAAATTAAACTTCATCAAGACAAAACAAATTCTGGGCCCCAAATAGACGAAAAAACCAAAGTCAAAGACCTGGGAGTGATTATGTCCCGGGGGATCCACCTTTTAAGGGCCAAAAAATGTATCAAACGCATCTGCAGAAAAATGACAGGGGGATTAAACCTTCAAAAATAGGAGGCCAAACCCCTTTTACACTCTTTGGGCCTGTTTATCAAAACGGAATATTCGCACTCTAACAGCACCTTTCAAGGCAGGTGAAATTGCCGACTAGAAAATGACAGAGAACTTTTCACGGCGCACATAAGAGTTTTTAAAATTTATTATGACCCCATACCCTTTCGGAAGCAAAAGATTTCAGATAATAATGGTCCAGGACTGACCCAAATTTTTACTTTGAAGAAAGGTAATGAACCCCCAATTTTTAAAAGGTTGCCCCTTTTCCCCCCAACAGGCACACTAGAGAAAAAAATAAATTTAAGCGCTTGATTTCAAACCTTACCCTGGAACCAGGAGGGAAAATCTGTATAACAGGAAAATCCTGAGGACTATACCAACCCACACGAAAATCCCCAACAAAAAGAAAAGACGGCAGACGTAAAACCTCCCCCCAAGAAAAGGGT